AGATTTATGTTTTTTTCGTTAAATATTAAAGTTAATCGTTAAAGTTAATACTCGAGAAAACATGGATTGATCCTCGTCATAATGCATCATCTATTAAAAAACCGTGAAAAGCAACACGATCACTGAAAAGTTTCATCTTAAATTCATAATAAAAAGCCTTAGATTATTAAAGTTCGAGCCTACCCAAGCCTTAAACTTTCAAAATTTGAGCCTACCCAAGCCTACCCAACTTCAATCTAGGGTAGGCTTGTGCCTACCCAGGCCTAATGGCTCCCCCGCCTCTGATTTGCACAAGATATATCCAAACGTGTAGAAATATTTTCTCTCGACATACCACTTGGTCAATGGTCATAGTATTCTCGGCGAGCAACCTATAAGTCTTCCAAACATTATAGATAAGTGACTTTGAGAAGGATTTTATATACTGTTCGATGGAATTTAAATAATGGACTGAGAATATGTTTTTTCTTTTGAAAATGTTTTATGAGAACAATAGATTTTGAAATGTATTGTAACAGGCACAGATAGCTAAGGAATCAAAACTCATTCATTATTCAAAAATAAAAAATGTTGAATTTCAGTTTTTTCTAAATGTAAACTCTACATGTAACTTCTCATGATCTAGAAGTATGTGAAAATAATGATCTGATGACGTCCTCGGATCTTTGATTTAATTTTCAAAAAGCTGATTCGGTAATTAAAACATATTCATTTCCCGCATTTCGGATTCTTAATGAAATAATTGTTTTGAGGAAGGTAAAACCCTTTTGACTAGAATATATATTCGTTTTTAACTCAAAAGTTACATTTAAATGTGAGTAAAAATAATACCATATCTACATTGCATAAACATGGTTCACACTTCTTATAATGGAGCTATTTTTTATTGAGTAAAAAATAGGAGAATTCAAAAACATATACCATTAAATTATACGATTTTAAAAATAAGACGGATAAATATTAGTGAACCAAAAATAACAAAAATCATATGAAAATAAAAGTGCGGTGCAATAAAAAAGAAAAGAAAAAAATCGTAAACTATATAGCAGTTATAAAAGAACAAAATTTTCTCTATTTTTTTAAATGATAATGATTTATTTAAAAAAAAGAAGAATCAATTCGTAAAAGTTCTTACTAGTTCTACTATGTATCGGGGCCTAGTTGAATTTTTTTCTAACATTCAATTACAATTGGACTTTAAGTAAGAACATACGTTTTTTCTCTTGTCAACATAATCGAAGACAAATTTCAATAATGATCGATGTTCAATTGATATTCTATTACACCTTGAGTTTAAAAACAATGTATAGATATAAATAGTTCGACACAACTGAAAATGGATCTTCAACATGATCAAAAAAGAGAAAAATCATCGGGAAATGTAAGATTCAATGTATTTGAAACAAATTCATCAGGTCTTGATTTCATTCAACAAATACAAAATTTGGAAAATCCTCGTTTAAGTACAGCTGATCAAAGTCAATCATCAACAATATCTCAGACATATATACTTGATAGAACGGATAATTTACTATTACAACAGAAGAGAATGTCGAGTGATCCAGAATTACAAAAATTAAATTATAAAGAAATAATATTTAATGAAGAGAATCTTACAACAGACACATTACAACATCATCAATTTAGTCAGACAGCTACATTAGTTAAACATCGATTATCGACTATTTCTCAAATCTATTTACCACATGGAAATGAATATCATCATCAACGAAAATTACCAGCAAATAGTCCTGATCTTAGTGAACATTTTTTGTTGAATGATGATACAGTTACTGATAGTAGTATAGATACAGATACATTGAAATCAATTACAGATGACGATAGTATAAATGACTATCACTTTTCTACATCATCAAAACATAGATTATTTATATTTGAACCAATTATAACCGGTTTAATTATATTTCCAATACTTGTTCTATTTTGGGCATGTGGTTGGAATTTAATATTAATTATGTTAAATAAATGGAATTCATTTTCATTAACATTACATCTTGTTGAAATTGATAATAATGGATATAATAATTATACTTGGACATCATTAATAGTACCTTATTTTATTGCACAATTTATTTTATTATTAACTTATCTTTTACAAGATTCTATTTATAATTTTCTTAAATATAAATGTAAATATTGGTTATTACACTCAATTCTTCTAAAATTTCATATTCTTCTCCTAGCATCAACGTATATTGTACAATGGGAAATGATGTGGACAATTTGGGATCAATATTCACCTCAAAAATGGTATTTTGAAATTTTAATGAGTTTAACATCATTATTTGCATTAATTGTATTAAATGGTCATCTATGTGATTTAGTTTGTGCACCATTCTTAGTCAGTTATGATTCTGTTGAATATTGCATACAATTTGGATGTCCACTATTAACAAGACAGGTAAAACATACAACATAGATTCTATTTCAATTATTTATATTATCGTTCTTGTGAACAAATTAATAATTATTATTGTTTTTTTCTTCTTCAGATGAGTCAATGGATAATTAATCTAATTAATCATTTCTTATACGAATATTTTGTATCAATTTTGACCATTGTTGCTTGGCGAGGTTTCTATAATTTTCTTGATAAATATTTATATCCTGGTAATGTTGATTTATCAGCTGGTCTCTGTTTCCTATTTGGTTATATTCTCTATTTTTTATTGATGTATTTTCAAACATATTTCGAAGATTTAAATATAAAATATGAATTTTGGGCATTTGTATCAATTAATTTTCCTCAATTTTATCATAATATTCAGCATTTACTAGCGTTTATTTCCTGTTTACTCATTTGGCGTGGTTATTGGATGATATTTGACACATATATCTACATATTTAAAGAATATCATTATACCTATTTATTATTGTTTATAGTATCATTTCTCGTTATGGCACTACTTCAAACATCATCATCAATTAATGGTCCCTTAAGTAACATGCCCGATTATTTTTCGTTCTTTCCATTATATCCGAATTGCTATTTGACAATTATGGTTATGAAATATTCAAAATTCTTTGGTAGATTTGGAGAAAATACGTCATTATAATCGTTATTATCTTAGAAAAAGACGTAGAGTAGAGCATTTATTATTTATACAGTTTAGTATTCTCTCATTCATTTTAAAAACGCTGTGATTGAAAAAAAAACATAAAACGTTTTAGTTTCCGATTTTAATTAGATAGTAAAAAAAAAAGAACATTTTTACATAAATGAATTCATTACACATCAGACAAATATTTCATTTTTATCAAAATGACGAAATAAACACTAGTCTACAACAAAAACTACTAATTTATATTGACAATATTTATTTTTCTAATTGTTTTTGAATACATTTTCTAATTATAACAACATGTTCAGATGTTAAACCTTGACGTTGCATAACAGAATTCAATTGGGTATAATACGGAAATTCGGGACATGATTCAATAACTTAAATAAAAATAAAAATATTCAATGATAAATTATATTTGAATTGTGTGCCAGATAGTTTAATTAGATATTAAAAAACTTACTTTTCCATCCGTTTTGATTAACCGATTCAATTAAAATGTCAAATGTTCTATTTGAATCATTTGAATCTAAATTTTTAAACTGTAAACGAATTTGTTTACCGCCTAATAACAATAGAAAAACAAAGAATACAAACATGGAATACGTAGAAGAGTAACGTAAATACCGTTTAAATATTGAAAATCAATAAGTTTTGAATAGCGTTTTTTTATTTGATCAAAACTTTCCAATACATAATCTTTGTTTAACAATAACGGCGGAATATTTTCCAGATCTATATACAACATATACAAATGATAGAAACGAATGCAACAGAAAACAAATTTCGAAGAAAAAGAGCAAGAGAACATTATATCTCACAATAGCAAGCAAAATTTTACATTACAGTGTATCAAGCACAAACAATATAAGCTTGAGATAAAAACTAACAAAGAACGAATACCTTGAAAATCGTTATCCAATTGCATTTTTGCTTGTTTTAATGTTTCCATTGTCTCTTTGATTTCGTCTGAATTTTTCGTTGCTAATAGCACTGATTGTTTATTTTCTAGAAATTAGTGAAATGATAAACAAACATTAGATCACAAATATACAAGGACTCGTTACATACTAAGTAAATTTTGACTTTTAAGCAAAAATTCTTCTGTACGGTATTGACGTATAGCATCTAAAAATTGCAAAAAATGTTTGTTTCTGTAGTTATAGAAGTTCAAAATTTCATTACGTACTTATAAATGATTTTCTTAGTGTGGAAATATATTTTTGTTTATCTTGATGTTTTTTAATTGAAATTAGCTGAATAATTTGACTTGATTGTAGACATTCTTTTTCCCATTCAATATTCTCACTTTCTTCAAACTCTAAATCTTTTAATAGTTGATTTAGTTTATCCATCTAAAACTACTAATAGTTGACAAAAAATATTGAAATTAGCGTACAGATCTACAATGTTCTGGAAGAATATACAAAACGAAAACATGTTGTCTTACAAAAGCCAGTACTAGAAGTAATTTTCACTGAACTTCAGTCGAAGAGAATGGTTTATCGCGCCAAAATTTTATCTTTCAAGTGGTGCCTATGAGATACTGTTACCGTAAATAAGTTCAATGTATTAACGGACTCCCATTCAAAAATCTATTTTTGAGGTGAAATGTTCGATCTCAACCATATTTAAAGAGAATATTAGCTTTATGAAGGTACGTTCACAATACAAATGTCACCATGAAATGGTGAGTTTTCTCGAAGTTATTCCAGACACAAGAGTAAAAAATGCGTCTTGCCATTTACAAGATTTCTCTATTTTGTTAAGTTCTAGAAATTTTGGACTAGTTTTAAATTAAAGAGAAAACGTGACGCTATGGCACAGCAGTGCCTGATGTTTAAAATTTTTGTTCCTTTTCGTGTCTCTAATAGTTTAGTTCGAAAACCTGAATATGGGAGAGTTTTACGGAATAGCTTTTCTATCTCTAAGACATAAATGAAAAATGAGGCTCTGCTATGTCGTAGTGCTGAGTTTTCTCGCTGATTTGAGACTAAACTGAGCTTTTTGGAGCTTAAAATAGAGGAGAAATCTTGTAAATGGTGACAGATTTAAGTTAAAAAAGTGATTTTGAGGACAAAACGATTCTTCTGCTATCACCAGCGTCTTCTGAAGAACCTCTCAAATCTCCTGAAAAACCAAAAATCTGTGGTGTATTCGAAAACAGACATTTTGGGCTGTTCAACAACGTGCAAATCTCAAAATTGGTGGAGTGACCGTTAAAGAATAGACTAAAAAGTAACATTTGAACAGTCAAGCGACTAACATTATAAGATAGTTCCACTAGTGGTGCTAATACAGCAATGAAAGAAAAATAGTGAATTTGCTAATTTGAAGTAAACAAAACTTTTTTCTGGTTTTGAATAAACCAGACTAATGTCGTCCAAGTGAATCTTCGATGGTACTGAATTACCTTAATCTGTTCTGACTGAAAGTTTTCTTTCGTTCCTGTTAGCAAATTCAGTTCAGAAAACAATTTTCGAAACTATTAAATATAATTAACCGTTTGTCATACCTTTATGTTTAATTAACATGCTTGACAAAGTCCTTTTATCCTTTAACTGTCTCTAATTTAACTGAAAAAGATCTTCAGCTCATGATTTTCTGTCAATCATATTTGTTCCCTGAATATATTTTAAGTAAATGTTTACCACTCACTCTTCTATCTGGCTAAAAGAAGTTAACCGTTTTCATCGGTAGTAGGCAGAGAACAGCACCCTATAATGGATGGATAGGTCGTTGTTGTTGCTTTTTTGGTGTGTGGCCAACCTAAATGCATCTCTCTGCACAACACAACTATGCACTATGAAAAACATTATAGCCACTATATACGTATATACGTATGAAAGAAAAACTTATGCTAAAAGATGGACAATTAAGAACAATAATTAATATTTGAATCATCTTTTTATAAGATGAAGAATTTCAAAACAGATAATAAGATATAAACCACCTTTATCATAATGAAAATAACTACCCAGGTCCAAAAAAACGGCCCGTTAACGGCCAGTTAATCTCCAGTAAACGGTCAACACAAAAAACGTCGCGTTAACGTTATGGAAACGGCAGAAAAACGCCCAGTAAACAAGTCGTTAACTTGCC